CTGGCCGCCACCACCACCACTACCAGGGGGGTTGAGGGAGCTAACCTGAGGGTTGTCCTGGCCGCCGCCACCACCACCACCAGGGTTTGAGGGAGCTAACCTGAGGGTTGTCCTGGCCGCCACCACCACCACCAGGGGTTGAGGGAGCTGACCTGAGGGTTGTCCTGGCCGCCACCACCACCACCACCAGGGGGGTTGAGGGAGCTAACCTGAGGGTTGTCCTGGCCGCCGCCACCACCACCACCACCACCACCACCAGGGGTTGAGGGAGCTGACCTGAGGGTTGTCCTGGCCGCCACCACCACCACCAGGGGTTGAGGGAGCTAACCTGAGGGTTGTCCTGGCCGCCACCACCACCACCACCACCACCACCACCACCACCAGGGGTTGAGGGAGCTGACCTGAGGGTTGTCCTGGCCGCCACCACCACCACCAGGGGTGGAGGGAGCTAACCTGAGGGTTGTCCTGGCCGCCACCACCACCACCAGGGGGGTTGAGGGAGCTGACCTGAGGGTTGTCCTGGCCGCCACCACCACCACCAGGGGTTGAGGGAGCTGACCTGAGGGTTGTCCTGGCCGCCGCCACCACCACCACCAGGGGGGTTGAGGGAGCTGACCTGAGGGTTGTCCTGGCCGCCACCACCACCACCACCAGGGGGGTTGAGGGAGCTGACCTGAGGGTTGTCCTGGCCACCACCACCACCACCAGGGGGGTTGAGGGAGCTAACCTGAGGGTTGTCCTGGCCGCCACCACCACCACCAGGGTTTGAGGGAGCTGACCTGAGGGTTGTCCTGGCCGCCACCACCACCAGGGGGGTTGAGGGAGCTAACCTGAGGGTTGTCCTGGCCGCCACCACCACCACCAGGGGTTGAGGGAGCTGACCTGAGGGTTGTCCTGGCCGCCACCACCACCACCAGGGTTTGAGGGAGCTGACCTGAGGGTTGTCCTGGCCGCCACCACCACCAGGGGGGTTGAGGGAGCTAACCTGAGGGTTGTCCTGGCCACCACCACCACCACCAGGGGTTGAGGGAGCTGACCTGAGGGTTGTCCTGGCCGCCACCACCACCACCAGGGGTTGAGGGAGCTAACCTGAGGGTTGTCCTGGCCGCCACCACCACCACCAGGGGTTGAGGGAGCTAACCTGAGGGTTGTCCTGGCCGCCACCACCACCACCACCAGGGGTTGAGGGAGCTAACCTGAGGGTTGTCCTGGCCACCACCACCACCACCACCACCAGGGGTTGAGGGAGCTAACCTGAGGGTTGTCCTGGCCGCCACCACCACCACCACCACCACCAGGGGTTGAGGGAGCTAACCTGAGGGTTGTCCTGGCCGCCACCACCACCACCACCAGGGGTTGAGGGAGGTAACCTGAGGGTTGTCCTGGCCGCCACCACCACCACCACCAGGGGGGTTGAGGGAGCTAACCTGAGGGTTGTCCTGGCCGCCACCACCACCACCACCAGGGGTTGAGGGAGCTAACCTGAGGGTTGTCCTGGCCGCCACCACCACCACCACCAGGGGTTGAGGGAGCTAACCTGAGGGTTGTCCTGGCCGCCATCACCACCACCACCAGGGGGGTTGAGGGAGCTAACCTGAGGGTTGTCCTGGCCGCCACCACCACCACCACCACCACCAGGGGTTGAGGGAGCTAACCTGAGGGTTGTCCTGGCCGCCACCACCACCACCACCAGGGGTTGAGGGAGCTAACCTGAGGGTTGTCCTGGCCGCCACCACCACCACCACCAGGGGGGTTGAGGGAGCTAACCTGAGGGTTGTCCTGGCCGCCACCACCACCACCAGGGGTTGAGGGAGCTGACCTGAGGGTTGTCCTGGCCGCCACCACCACCACCACCACCACCACCAGGGTTTGAGGGAGCTAACCTGAGGGTTGTCCTGGCCACCACCACCACCAGGGGTTGAGGGAGCTAACCTGAGGGTTGTCCTGGCCGCCACCACCACCACCACCACCAGGGGTTGAGGGAGCTGACCTGAGGGTTGTCCTGGCCGCCACCACCACCACCAGGGGGGTTGAGGGAGCTAACCTGAGGGTTGTCCTGGCCACCACCACCACCAGGGGTTGAGGGAGCTAACCTGAGGGTTGTCCTGGCCGCCACCACCACCACCACCACCACCACCCAGGGGGGTTGAGGGAGCTAACCTGAGGGTTGTCCTGGCCGCCACCACCACCACCAGGGGTTGAGGGAGCTGACCTGAGGGTTGTCCTGGCCGCCACCACCACCACCAGGGGTTGAGGGAGCTGACCTGAGGGTTGTCCTGGCCGCCACCACCACCACCAGGGGGGTTGAGGGAGCTAACCTGAGGGTTGTCCTGGCCGCCACCACCACCACCACCAGGGGTTGAGGGAGCTAACCTGAGGGTTGTCCTGGCCGCCACCACCACCACCAGGGGTTGAGGGAGCTAACCTGAGGGTTGTCCTGGCCGCCGCCACCACCACCACCAGGGGGGTTGAGGGAGCTAACCTGAGGGTTGTCCTGGCCACCACCACCACCACCAGGGGGGTTGAGGGAGGTGACCTGAGGGTTGTCCTGGCCGCCACCACCACCACCACCAGGGGGGTTGAGGGAGGTGACCTGAGGGTTGTCCTGGCCGCCACCACCACCACCACCAGGGGGGTTGAGGGAGGTGACCTGAGGGTTGTCCTGGCCGCCACCACCACCACCACCAGGGGGGTTGAGGGAGGTGACCTGAGGGTTGTCCTGGCCGCCACCACCACCACCACCAGGGGGGTTGAGGGAGGTGACCTGAGGGTTGTCCTGGCCGCCACCACCACCACCACCAGGGGGGTTGAGGGAGGTGACCTGAGGGTTGTCCTGACCGCCACCACCACCACCACCAGGGGGGTTGAGGGAGGTGACCTGAGGGTTGTCCTGGCCGCCACCACCACCACCACCAGGGGTTGAGGGAGGTGACACAAGGGTTAGTAGATAATAATAGCAAAATTTCCAAGTAGAAAGGTGTTGGACATGCTGACCCGCCCCCACACCTGTTGAATATGCTAACCCACACCTGTTGGACATGCTGACCCCCCCCCCACACACCTGTTGGACACGCTGACCCCTCCACACCTGTTGGACATGCTGACCCCCCAACACTTGTTGGACACACTGACCCCACCACACCTGCTGGACACGTTGACCCCCCCCCCTTACACACACACTGCCGCAGGAGGGGATGGCAGGGCCGCAGGAGGGGATGGCAGGGCCGCAGGAGAGGATGGCAGGGCCGCAGGAGGGGATGGCAGGGCCGCAGGAGGGGATGGCAGGGCCGCAGGAGGGGATGGCAGGGCCGCAGGAGGGGATGGCAGGGCCGCAGGAGGGGGATGGCAGGGCCGCAGGAGGGGATGGCAGGGCCGCAGGAGGGGATGGCAGGGCCGCAGGAGGGGATGGCAGGGCCGCAGGAAGGGGATGGCAGGGCCGCAGGAGGGGGATGGCAGGGCCGCAGGAGGGGCGGCAGGGCCGCAGGAGGGGGGGGGGTGTAGGGCCGCAGGAGGGGGCGGCATTAGGGTGCCATTCATCACGTGCCGTCAAGACTGGCGGCCAGAGGGTCGATAATCACTTATCGGAGTTCGGTATTATGGAGGGAGGGGAGGCTCGTGTTAATATTGCTAACACGTTTGTGCCTCTTACACCAGGGGTGATGTTATTATTATTATTATTACCTCAATTTTAACATGTTGGTAATGGTTGTAAAATTTCCTGTGTTAATCAACATGTTCATATTGTCTGTCAATACTTGTTTATGTGTCAAATGTTGTCGTGCTTGATGTGTGTGTGTTATGCCTTGTTTGTCTCCATCCCTTCATCACCTCCCTCCCATCCCTCTATCACCTCCATCCCTCTTACCTCCCTCCTTTACCTCTGTCGACATAATCAAGTCCTGCCATGACAGACGTGCACAACCGCCTCCAACGGTTCAGTTTCCCGCGCCTTATCTCCCCTCAAAACTTGTCCCCCCCCCCCCGTCCTCCATCTTCACCCGATCCCTCTCTTCATAATAATAATAATTTATTCACAAAAAGTTACAATGGGTTGGTGTGATTACATAAGATTGGTATTTATACATTCTAAGCCACTAAGACGCCTAGCGTTTGTGGCAGGTCCTTAATCTAGCATATCAGGTATGTTAGATTAAGATACATTGTTGCAAGGTTTTATATCAACAAATAACTACAATATAAATTGAGGAGAGATGATTACCCTGGTAGAGATACATGTCTTAAGTAGTAGTATTGGGAAAGTACAAGATACAGTGAGAGTTTGAACCACAAGGTAAGAAAATACGAGGATGTAATTAGGTACTTTTTTATTTTACTTTTCAATAGGGCTCGACAATTATTTAATTCGTCAGGGACCCAGTTCTAAAGACTGGGGCCCTTTATTTGCAGGGAGTGTTTGTACACATTGAGTTTGAAATCATTTATCATTCCATGATTCTCTCATCTCTACGCTTCTCCCTGGCACTGTTTACCTTCCTCGAATATTTCCTCTATGTTGGCCCTGAGTGCCGGAGATGTGTGAGTGAGTGCCCAGTGTTTGGTGGCACTGTGTGAGTGCCCAGTGTGTGGTGGCACTGTGTGAGTGCCCAGTGTGTGGTGGCACTGAATGTGAGTGCCCAGTGTGTGGTGGCACTGAGTGTGAGTGCCCAGTGTGTGGTGGCACTGAGTGTGAGTGCCCAGTGTGTGGTGGCACTGAGTGTGTGTGAGTGCCCAGTGTGTGTGAGTGCCCAGTGTGTGGTGGCACTGAGTCTGTGTGTGCCCAGTGTTTGGTGGCACTGTGTGAGTGCCCAGTGTGTGGTGGCACTGAGTGTGAGTGCCCAGTGTGTGGTGGCACTGAGTGTGTGTGAGTGCCCAGTGTTTGGTGGCACTGTGTGAGTGCCCAGTGTGTGGTGGCACTGAGTGTGTGTGAGTGCCCAGTGTGTGGTGGCACTGAATGTGAGTGCCCAGTGTGTGGTGGCACTGAGGTTGGTCTTGTCTTCCAGTTCTACCACTTCACGCTCTTCGCCATGTCTCTCAACCAACTGGGCGAGGAGCTCAGGCGGGTCCTGGGACCCACCGACTGTAGGTGAGTTGTTGCCCACCAGTACTGTGTACTCTACTGTGTCCCCCCCCTCTACTGTGTCCGCCCCCCCCTCTGTGTCCCCCCCCCTCTGTGTCCCCCCCTCTACTGTGCCCCCCCTCTACTGTGCCCCCCTCTACTGTGTCCACCTCCCTTTCTACCGTGTCCCACCCCCTCTACTGTTTCCGCCCACCCACCCTACTGTGTCCCCCCCTCTACTATGTCCACCCTCTACTGTGTCCACCGCTCTACTGTGTCCCACTCAGTGTCCCCGTAATTGGACCTTGCTGTTGTATCTAATCAACTGAACTATATTTATATAATATATTGAGTGTATCATATGTTCTTTCTGCAAACTTTCATGCAAATAATATGCTGCCATGACTAAATAGCACATAAGGCTGTATGTAAGTACACTGCAACACACATACACATGGTATGTGTATTTTAACTGTAAATTACTGTAAATGTAAATTATCACAACCTGTAAATTACCTCAAGCCTTCAAGCACACCCATTTGGAACAGTAAAAGTGTGTATGATTTCTACATTTGGCTGTGTAGACCCGGGCTGTGTAGACCCGGGCTGTGTAGACCCGGGCTGTGTAGACCCGGGCTGTGTAGACCCGGGCTGTGTAGACCCGGACTGTGTAGACCCGGACTGTGTAGACCCGGACTGTGTAGACCCGGACTGTGTAGACCCGGACTGTGTAGACCCGGACTGTGTAGACCCGGACTGTGTAGACCCGGACTGTGTAGACCCGGACTGTGTAGACCCGGACTGTGTAGACCCGGACTGTGTAGACCCGGACTGTGTAGACCCGGACTGTGTAGACCCGGATTGTGTAGACCCGGACTGTGTAGACCCGGACTGTGTAGACCCGGACTGTGTAGACCCGGACTGTGTAGACCCGGACTGTGTAGACCCGGACTGTGTAGACCCGGACTGTGTAGACCCGGATTGTGTAGACCCGGATTGTGTAGACCCGGACTGTGTAGACCCGGACTGTGTACAAAGTTCGTCTCCCTATAGGCAGGACTAACCCTCCCGGACTGTACGGAGAGTCGTGCCCCATATAAGCAGGACTCTACTGAGAGTGCACCTTTACAGATTACGTCCGGACATCCGGCTGCTGGAGAATGGTGACATTGATGGTGCGGCCAATGAGAAGAACCGTCTGGAGGAGAAGCAGAGGGACGCGAGGAAGTCCAGGAAGAAGGGCAAGGAAGAATGGAAAGCCAGGTAAGTAAACTATAGGAAACTGCCTAAGCTTCTTAACTAAGCTTCTTAACTAAGCTTCTTAACTAAGCTTCTTAACTAAGCTTCTTAACACTTCTTAACTGGAGTGTGATGACCGCGAAGAAACGTGAATTAAAGATAGCAATAGTTTGGAGGATGTTAGTATGTGTGTAATTATTTACAAAGCGACAAGCAAGGCAAGTGACGCTGGATGCTTGTGTGATTGTGATAATCTCTTCCGTCGATGAATATACTTTGAGATAACAAAGATAAGGATAAACAATTTATCGAGAATTAGAATTTCCTAAATAGTGTGTGATTCACGTGCACACAGACATGCACATACAAACGTGTGCACTACAGTTATTGTCAGGTATTAATATAAAACAACTCACAGCATAACATTCAACATACTGGGTACAACAAGAAGCTCCTCTTGTCTCTGAATTCCTTGTTCAGTGTTGCCAGACTTTCCGGGCTCCACAGCGCCGTCATTCTGGCCACAACATTAAGTCTTACTTCTGTACACTATCTGGGAATACTGCCACACGTCACCTTGTCCTCGTTGAACACAATCCCTCGTCTCCTAGTTCAACCTCCAGTGTTCCCAGCTGGCTGTGGTTCCCAGTACTCTCACACGCGTTCACAATTCAAGTCTATGCATCTCGGTGAGCTAACAACTGCAAACCAGCTATGGTAGGGATTTCATTGAAACTTTTAAAATACTGAACAACTTAGAGGATGTTGATACGGACATTTTCTTCAGGTCAGATGTAACACAAACAAGGAGCAACGGTTTCAAGCTAAACAAACCACAATGTAGGACTGAGAACAGGAAATGCTTTTTCACCCACAGAGTTATTAATCCATGGAACCGCCTACCCGCCGAACCCGTAACTGTGTTGAGCTTTAAAATATACCTGGAAAAGGTCAAGGCAAATGAGGGGGACCTTCGACAAGCCGCCGGCTTCCTGTCCTCGTCGAGGGAACTAGGGTTAGTGGCCCTCAGGTAAATCAGCTAAAATCTCTTCACCCTCCTAGTCTACAGGTCTCCACCGTGTGTCTTGCTCCCAGACTTGTAGTAGACAAAGTTCCAGCACCAACTTGTCCTAACTATATCTGAACTCTTCCCAGTCCTTCCACCGTTGTTTTCCTTCCCCTGTAATGGTTCCTCCACTATCAGTTAGGATAGGATATACTTTCTTCATCTATGGCATTCCTGACGAGACACTGGACGTCTTTGTTACTTGTGACTCGAGCTGCTTAGGCCTCTCCGTACACCAGTCTGTTGCCGCGACACATTGTCTTGCGACGCCTGGTAGTCTCTCTCTTCCACATGTATAGTACCCTCTTTCAATATTTATATTATAGGCAGGAATTTCTGTTCAACACTACGGTTTTTATATGGGTGGCGACCCATATTAGAATGATGGTGCCTGTTAAACCCGGCCTTGTTTGTGAATGCATCGTGGGGGTTTGTTTGGTTGGTATAGTTGGTGATGTTTGGTCATGTTATATTATCTTGGAAGGTCCCTAGGTTCATTACCATACCTTCTGAAATTTATGGGGAAGCTAATGGTACTGGCTGTAGTGTGGTAATGTGCTAGAAGTAAGAACTGTTTTGCCATAGCAGCAGCAAATCACTTCGCGCTGATAGAGGCTATAATGACTAGTGTGCTCGATGTATTAATTTTGGTTATAATTACCAAACTTATTCTAAGTCGTAGCCACAGCACCATCAGCACCCGGGGTCCAGCCTCTCACGTCAACATACCCGCGCTGCACGAGGCAACTTGCCCACCTCCACCCTCTTTAAAAATAAATGGAGCTTCTTGGGCAATATTTTAACCAAAATTGATGAGTTCGGCCTCATAAGCCATTAGTCTTATTTTATTAAACTGTTCCGTCTAATCATTTATATATTAATTACAATTTGTTACCCTGGTGCTTTAATTATTGACATCACTTCTTTCCTACTTATTATAATTTTTCCCCTTCTCACTGATGATTTAGTCATTAATTATAATGGTGATAACTTCTCCAATTTCCAATTTTCGAAAAAAATATCTGTGCCGTGACAATTATTTGAAAACATTTTGTAAATCTCCATTCTTAACATTACGGCTTCCAAATCTATACGAGAGTGTCATTCTGTCTGTCCAAAGTTGGAGGCCGCATACGCTTGATGCTAGGCTCACTAGCCTCAATGATCGTAAGAGGAACACAAACAAAGTTTCCTACTTTCCCATAGTAGGAAAACAGCATGTCAAGGATTTGGGAATAATGATGTCTGACGACCTAACGTTTAGGGAGCATAACCAAGCAAATATTGCGTCAGCCTGAAAAATGATAGGATGGATTACAAGAACTTTCAAATCCAGGGATCCCATCACAATGGTTGTACTATTGAAGTCACTTGTGTTGTCCCGTCTTGAGGGTACTGAATACAGCTCAGTACTCACGTCCCCCAACAGAGCAGGAGAGATTGCTGAAATAGAGGGAATACAGAGAATATATACGGCACGCATAGACGAGATAAAGCGCCTAAATTATTGGGACCGTCTCAAAGCTCTCCAAATGTACTCACTAAAAAAGAAGAGAAGAGAGAGATATCAAATAATATACACATGGAAAATACTGGAGGGACAGGTCCCAAATCTACACAGTAAAATAACAACGTACTGGAGTGAACGATATAGAAGAAAATGAAGAATAGAACCAGTGAAGAGCAGGAGTGCCATATAAGCGCAATCAGAGAACACTGTATAAACATCAGAGGTCCGCGGTTGTTCAACATCCTCCCAGCGAGCATAAGAAATATTGCCGGAACAACCGTGGACATCTTCAAGAAAAAACGAGATAGTTTTCTCCAAGGAGTGCCGGACCAACCGGTCTGTGGTGGGTATATGGGCCTGCGGGCCGCTCCAAGCATCAACCTGGTGGACCAAGCCCTCACAAGACAAGCCTGGCCTCGGGCCGGGCTTGTCTTGTGACAAGCTTGGTCCTTGTCTTGTGACAAGCTTGGTCCTTGTCTTGTGACAAGCTTGGTCCTTGTCTTGTGACAAGCTTGGTCCTTGTCTTGTGACAAGCTTGGTCCTTGTCTTGTGACAAGCTTGGTCCTTGTCTTGTGACAAGCTTGGTCCTTGTCTTGTGACAAGCTTGGTCCTTGTCTTGTGACAAGCTTGGTCCTTGTCTTGTGACAAGCTTGGTCCTTGTCTTGTGACAAGCTTGGTCCTTGTCTTGTGACAAGCTTGGTCCTTGTCTTGTGACAAGCTTGGTCCTTGTCTTGTGACAAGCTTGGTCCTTGTCTTGTGACAAGCTTGGTCCTTGTCTTGTGACAAGCTTGGTCCTTGTCTTGTGACAAGCTTGGTCCTTGTCTTGTGACAAGCTTGGTCCTTGTCTTGTGACAAGCTTGGTCCTTGTCTTGTGACAAGCTTGGTCCTTGTCTTGTGACAAGCTTGGTCCTTGTCTTGTGACAAGCTTGGTCCTTGTCTTGTGACAAGCTTGGTCCTTGTCTTGTGACAAGCTTGGTCCTTGTCTTGTGACAAGCTTGGTCCTTGTCTTGTGACAAGCTTGGTCCTTGTCTTGTGACAAGCTTGGTCCTTGTCTTGTGACAAGCTTGGTCCTTGTCTTGTGACAAGCTTGGTCCTTGTCTTGTGACAAGCTTGGTCCTTGTCTTGTGACAAGCTTGGTCCTTGTCTTGTGACAAGCTTGGTCCTTGTCTTGTGACAAGCTTGGTCCTTGTCTTGTGACAAGCTTGGTCCTTGTCTTGTGACAAGCTTGGTCCTTGTCTTGTGACAAGCTTGGTCCTTGTCTTGTGACAAGCTTGGTCCTTGTCTTGTGACAAGCTTGGTCCTTGTCTTGTGACAAGCTTGGTCCTTGTCTTGTGACAAGCTTGGTCCTTGTCTTGTGACAAGCTTGGTCCTTGTCTTGTGACAAGCTTGGTCCTTGTCTTGTGACAAGCTTGGTCCTTGTCTTGTGACAAGCTTGGTCCTTGTCTTGTGACAAGCTTGGTCCTTGTCTTGTGACAAGCTTGGTCCTTGTCTTGTGACAAGCTTGTCCTTGTCTTGTGACAAGCTTGGTCCTTGTCTTGTGACAAGCTTGGTCCTTGTCTTGTGACAAGCTTGGTCCTTGTCTTGTGACAAGCTTGGTCCTTGTCTTGTGACAAGCTTGGTCCTTGTCTTGTGACAAGCTTGGTCCTTGTCTTGTGACAAGCTTGGTCCTTGTCTTGTGACAAGCTTGGTCCTTGTCTTGTGACAAGCTTGGTCCTTGTCTTGTGACAAGCTTGGTCCTTGTCTTGTGACAAGCTTGGTCCTTGTCTTGTGACAAGCTTGGTCCTTGAAAACTTGTTCTCATATACTGTATATAAATTAATATTATTTTACATAAAAATTCTATGTATAGTTAGGCATAGGTTAGGTGTTTAGGTTATGTTGGCGATTATTTGTATTTGAAGTACGTGGGTTCTGGTTATATCAGAACCACATTTATAGAATAGTGGTTCGACAACCCGTCCTCAGACCAAGTCCATTCCATTCAGCGTTCGACCCCTAAGACGCATTCATAAATTTTAACATGTTGTTCATTCAAAACAGGAATTTTCTCAGGCATAAATTGATATTATTTTATATTACCATATTGTACATGTTTAAGCATTAGTTAGGTTAGGTGTTTAGGTTCTGTTGGCGATTATTTATATTTGTAGTACGTGGGTGAGGTATTTACAGCGTTGTGGTTCGAACAAAAGTCGTCAGTGAAGCACTTGTTCCGGAAGTGTTCGGACGTCATCAGTTGTGAGTCGTGTGTAACTCGCTTTTCATTTATAAACAGGGGGTTTGGCGGCTGAATTAACGAGCTTGGATTATTGCATGCGAGGACGGCTGGGAGCTATATGGTGACATGTCTCATGCATGCTAAAATGTTATCTAAACGTTTCTTTACAGATGGTTTGAGCAAGGGACCAACCCTTTCACTCGCCAGGAAGACTGGTTGTATTCTGGTGGCTACTGGGATCGTAACTTCGACGAGACTATCGACATCTTCTGATGACGCAGCATGTCGTATCCAGCCATTCAACCATCATATCTTAACAGAAAAGTTTATAGAGGGTAACAGTCATGGTGGCAGCTAGAGGTGTGCTTCATTTTATACGCTAACACTGTTTCTTTGCTTTGTGTACACCACTATGGTTGAAATGACTAGTGTGTATTGATACGAGTGTTTTGGTACTGTTGGTAAGTGTTTAGTTGAAGGACAGATATTGTTGCCTGTGGTTGTCGGTGTGCGAAGCAATTAATGCAGGAAGTTATTGTGACAGAGGCTGGCCACGTCCTCCAGGTTGTCCAACCATTTTGTGTTGAATTGGAAGAAATATTTATAGTATATAGTGCATAATTTTTATTGTATTTTTTTTACTCTGAAGATATTGCAAGACAAGTGATTTAATTTTCTTTATCGTAAGTATGATCCATATGTTATTTTATATTCAAAATTGGCATCGAATTTTGTCACGGTTGTGGCAATGCCTTTTACAAACACTAATGGATTAACCAGAATTGTCGTAATTTTGTTCAGTGTTGAAATTTATGGCCAAGTTGTAAGTAATGGATGCATGGGAAATCTCATTACCTACAAATATTGAAGGCTCTAAAAAAATTAAGCAAATATCGTTTATTTGAATTTCTTTCGGTTTTATTGAAAAGATGTTGAAGAAAATAATACTTCAACTATTATTACTGTATTCACAATGCAAAGCAGTCTATATGTTAGGTAGCTGAACCAGCAGTAAATATTCTGGGAATTTAAATAATTAGTTTTTAAGTTTTAATACTTCTTTTAACGTTCATCCCTCCGATTAATATTGTAGCTTGATGACAAGAATAATGAGGTATTGTTACATGTTTTGTAGTTCTAATTCATATAAGGGACTTTCAAATGATGAAAAGAACTAATGGAAAAAAAAATGTATTTTATGTGCTTTTAAATTAATTTTCTCTTTTCTTCAGCAACATTGATTGATATAGTTCCCTCAAAAGTCTAATTAGCAGATAATTCAGTGTGTGAGTCTTTGAACCCCAAACTTGGCCAAATAATGTGTGTGTATATGTGTGTGTGTGTAGAAAGGGTAGTGGTGTGGAGAGTTTCCTGTGATCTCCATTATTAAAGATCATATTTGTATTAATTGCTTCCTGCAAATAGATCAATCTCTGTTTTGTCATGTGAGTTAGTCAACACAGTACCCTGCTAAAGTGCAATGATTGCTACTTTGAATCTTAATTTGTGAAAATTTGAATTGCCAATAGGAAGCAGAGGTTGTGGAGATCCCTGACTGAACTTTTCCTTAGACCAGGCCTTTATGGTTGCTTTAATGTCATCCTGCATCAGTGGACGATGTCAGACCAATGCTGAAGCGACCAAAGGGATGTGACAGAAGTGAATGGATGCATATTTCGTAGTAAAGATACTAAATTCATTATATTATGGGCAAATTTCTCCACCCTTTTAAGAGGAGGAATTTGATCGGTTTCATGCAGTTTGGTTATTTTTGTACTTTTGTGATATATTTTTACTAGGTCAGATATTTCAGGAAGAAAATTTTATTCCTTGAGGCTGACGTATTCATACACTTATCAGCAGTGCTGTGTTTATTTAAATCATGTAAGTTACCCAAATTAACTGTATATTTTTAGGCTCGATTTGTTTCCGTGTATATTGAATTTCCACTTTTAATGCAAGACATTGCTGTAGCACTTTAGTACGTAATGCAATATTCTCACAAAGTACAGCATTTGAACTTCATGGACAAATTTGTTTGTCAATTTAAGTCAGATTCTAAGTCATTTTTAGTGTTGCATATCACCTAATTTTCATATCTATATAAAAGTTTAAATTAAATAATTTCTATCAAAATATAAGTACATTTGAAATTTACTCTGACAAAAATAAGTACTGTACATCACATCTGTAAAACTAGTGACATGTCTTTGTCATTCATATTTACATAACATTTAATAACTTAAGATATGTACAGGTATATCCTTTAAATAAAAAAAGATTGTACTTTGAAACGTATACAAATAATGAAAAAGCATGCGGCATATAATTTACTTTTGAAATGCTATTATTGATACTGTACTTGGGAATTTTTAATAAGCTATACACAAACATTAGCACACTATATACTTTCTGAGTTGCTTAACTTTGAAATTCAATCAATTTTACCATATACAATAAGTATATGAAGTTTGAAATTAAACATTTATACAGTATTTCAATATGGTATATTGTTTGAAAACTAATATCTTAATCCCCGTGTGTATTGAAAGACATTTTTATTTAATCACAGCATTAGAGATACAGTATTCTCTAATTATTTTCCTCTATAATCTAGGATATAAAATGCCTTCAATAGTTGCTCAGCTTGGTAGATATATGTCAGCTTGGATGTCTCTTATATGTGCTTACTATGAAGCAATGTTCACTGTTCACTGGTTCCTAAAATGCAGCTTGGGTATTAAATGGATGATAAATGAGTGAAAAGCAAAGATTATACATTTTCAATTTGTTCACAAAAGTGAACATTAGTTTGCCTCTCAGTTTTAATTTAAACAAGTTAAATAGAAAATACATTTTCTATGGAAAGTATGATTAACTCTCAATTTTCTTGAATATTTATATATATTTTGGCCATTAGTATCAAAGTATTTAACTAACCCACAATGTTATCAACTAGGGAAAATATGTAAAGAAAATAAAGTAGTTTATATATATTGCAAATATTGTAAATGGAAACATTCAGATTTTTTTGTCATACATTGACAATTATTTTCAAAAGTTTGCTATTGAATTGTATCAAAGGTTAATTAGCGTGTTAATGTAGCAAACAAAACTCTCAAACTTTTTCCACAACTACTGTTTTCTTCTCATTTTTAACAAAAAATTACCTTTATATTCAGTTCAGTACTACATAGAGATCATTTCAGACAAATTGGATTTCTAAATCATTTTTGCATTATATTAAAAACCCAATGAGCTAACTATAAAGATGTCATCTTTTTGTAGTTAACCCAAGTCGGGAACTACAAACTTTCTATACCTTTGCACTACTGTTAAAGAAATGACATGCTCTGCCATTTCTGAACCATTTCGAAGAAATAAATCGACACTTATAATCAGTATTAGTAATATTTATACATATTTTGTGTAACACTTCCCTTCTCACTTTCATTAAATTTTTTGTCTATAAGCCACATGGGCACCTAAGACACAATCTATATAATCGGGTCCATTAGATGCAATAATTTGATTAACTTCAAATATATATAAATAATATATATATATGCAAATACCTGCATTCTGGTACCTAGTAGCCAGAATGCAGTACTTGGTCTATTATGCAAGGCCCAATTTGCCTAATAAGCCAAGTTTTCCTGAATGTGTGTGTGTTTTAATTTTTTCTAATGAATGATAAAGCTATCCATTTCATTATGTATGAGTTAAGTTTTTATTTAAGTTAAAACTAACATAGATATATGACCGAACCTAACCAACCCTACCTAACCTAACCTATCTTAACCTAACCTAAACTAATATAACTAAGTCTTTAATTTATGTTCTTAACATAATGTAATAATAATATTTTAAATAAACGAATTGGAAACAATATTTTGAAAATAAAGAAAATCACTCGGCCTATTAGGCAAATTGGGCCTTGCTAAGTAGACCGAGAAGTGCATTCTGGCTACTAGGTACGACATTTTATATATATATATATACACACACACACACACACACACACACACACACACACACACACACACACACACACACACACACACACACACACACACACACACACACACACATGTATTCACATACGTATACATTATACATTTATACATATACTCAACTAGTATACATGTACTCACAAGTACTTGAATACACACACACACACACACACACAAACAATAACGAAGAATATGAAATGAATGAAGAAGATTAATGAATGAATTCAGTTGAAAGAAAACATTTATTTGCTTCAGAATATTTTTAATTTGAAAATATATGAAGCTTCTGACACAGCTGTGATGTACAGAAATATTTTTGTCATGTTTGAGTACAATACAATAATTTCTTTTAATTGTTTACAATAAATCACATACTGTACTAACAAATCACAAAATGTTACACAGGATCAATGCAGATCATCACACACAAGATGAACCCTGAGGTTCTCCAAGTTATGTGTGCATTATTTCCCTCATAAGAGGGAAATAATTCCCTCTTATAAGTAAATGTACAAGTATGTACAAGTACTGTACTACAGTACTCCACATGTACTGGAGTAGAGCGTCTAAACATTACTCTACTTTTCTCTAATAGTCACTAATCTATATCCTCAAAATCTGACATGATTTAAAAGTATTATGTAACAAAATTCTGAACTTTCCAGAACTCTTAATAATCAGTACTAATTGCTCTAAAAATAGTCAAGCAGTTTCAATTACAAAAAACCCAGTCTTCATCACTCTTCATTCTATACAGTTCTCTGAGGCAATTGTCTTGGTCCCCAAACATTTCTGATTTTAGAAGCTTGATTGTATATGAACATCCTAGGGGGACGTTTCATTTTTACAGCTGGCAGCATGCATTAAATTGTATAAACATATCCATAGATATATATACATACTGTACCTATGTATTTACATACCTGTATATGCACAATACACATCCACTACTTCAGTGTGAGGGTAATGCATGAGAAGAGTACACTTGGGGAGGAAGCCTTCAGTGTGGAAGTAGTGTAGGAATAGAAACACACTCAGGGAGGAAGCTTTCAGTGTGGAAGTAGTGCAGGAATAGAAACACACTTGGGAAGGAAGATATTCATGCCAACTCCATACATAAGGTCATGTAGAGATCAAATAAGACCCATGATTCTGGGGGTCTATCACAACATACAATGGTTTTGAGAAGGTGGCTACCTGGAGCTTTTGCTTAAACCACACAGAAACAGGTTCATACAGTTATGTAAGTACATAAACACACACAAAAAAACTGTATACACATATACTCATACATGTACACAAAACTTTGTAATGTACATTGATTTCTTACAATAATTTTTTTTGTTTGCATGTTCTGTCTGTACTTGGGAGAAAGATTCACTTTATGAAATTTGCCTTACATTGGAACATATCAGTGTTTTAGAGATGCCAATGTTTTTACAGCTCATCAAGGTATGCCATGCTCACATTTTTCTTCCCATTTATCACACTCAATCACCATGTCCACTCATTCCATTGTACTGCATAATTTGTTTAATTTATCAGCTTGAAACAAATTTAAGCCCAATATAAAACTGTTGAAAACAAGCATGATTATTGAGCAATAATGTTACACAATTGTAGGATTATTATTCATAGACTTAAGGTCTGCTTTACATCCCAGCAGGATGAAGGTGGTGGGCTCTATATGGCATAAATATGCTGTATATGCAATGGCAGTTTTGTGTGCTGCTAAGTTTCTGTATCAGCAGTGTGTGTGTGGGTTGGGGTGCTGCTACAACACCACTGTGCTTGGGCAAGCCACACATGCTTTGTGTGAAAGTACAGTACAGCATAGTGGTGCTGTATTTGTTGTACTCCAGCCATTGGGCTCAGGGATAACCCATACAGTCCTGTAATTCTTGGGTGTTAACAATGTATCCTGCTCTCTGCTTTTGCATTCATGTTGCACCCAGTATGTGTGCATACATAAACCAAGATGCCTGCATTCTGCATGGAAAATTCTGGCTTAATGCACAACTTGTGTATTTATTGTACTGATACAATTTAATTAATAGATAATACTCTTGGATAATACTTGGAGGATTTTCATAATTTTATATCCTTACTATATAAATCTATATTCCGTAAGAGAAAAATTACTTTTCCAAGGCAATTTGACTGTCTGGTTGCATATCTTTTTCTTGCATCCCTAATTTTGTAGGAATTTAGACATGTATGATAATGGATCATGTTCATATAATCTGAGATGTCCAGTTTAAGTACAGGCATGTAATGACAGGTTTCTCAAGGGACCTGAGGCCAGACCAGGAAACAAATACAATATATTAATGAAGACCTATTTAATTGCTGGCCAGTCTTTAAAAATCTGAAGGTTGAAAATAATTTATTCTAATAAACCACTGTAATTAAATTGAATTATATATTGTATAAATTAGAAATGTGAGCCAATATACACATACTTAACTATTGTATGTTTGAAAACTTGGATCATAAAAAAGTATTGAAATAGAATGCTCGATATTTTTTATTTATCTGGTATAGTGTATTTGTAGAGAATGTTGTGGCACATGTTAATATTTTAGAGAAAATCTGCATCTGTTTTATGACTAAATATCATTTGATTTAGGAAAATTAAAAGTGACGGGAAATCTCATTATTTTTTTATGTTTAAGCAGTTGTTAGATGGACACATTCTAATCTTTATTGAAAAATCAATATAACTGAATTAATTTGCTGTGCACCTACCAATAATGCCTGAAGTTAGACATATCAGTTACAGCTTGATTACTGGGCACACATTGTCAAAGACAGCAAACCAGTTTAGCTTACCGAGATCTCCCTAGGCCTACAACTGTTATGCAGTAAGGATGCAACCCACAACAGTTGTACTCCCAGGTATTGAACCTATTTACTGCTAGGTGAACACCAACATAAATTGTAAGGAAATTTGCCGAAACGTCTTTGTAATTTAAATTTATCTTCTTTTAATTAAGGGAAAATATACTGGACAGTGAAATGATCTAGGAAATGCAAGTTTGTTTGTCTTCGAGTTTAAAATGAGTAATAATTAATTTTTAAGTAATAAAGGAGATTCTTTTTTTTTTTTTTAATCACAATACTAATTGGCAGTGATATAAATACAAATAATGAATTGCATTGAAACAGCCATGGTAAAATGTTTGTGCAAGATACATAAACTATTGAATACTCATGTCTGTGCACTTGATGTTTAGTTTAATGATGGGACTTCAACAACCAACCATGTCAGCCAACACATGGTTGCGGTTCATCGTCTGTGTCAGTGTTACCTCTCTTCCTTTCCTCTCGGTGTCATTTCTTTGGTGAAGATTGCAAATAATGCTACTGGTAATTTAACAACCTGTACTCTTTCAAATTACGTTGCTTTTTGCTCGTATGCACTATGGCCAAAAATCACTGTACTGAAATTTAAAAAAATGGAAATTAATTTTCCAAATGAAATGGACCCAAAGCATCAAGTTTTGGGTCCTCTGGTAGGTTAGGAGAGCAGGAAATTTACCTAAGGTTTCAAAACGTCATGAAAACCGTTAATTTAAAGTGTCCTCTCCTAACCTAACGGACTTAGCCAGAGGACCCAAAACAGAAAACGGGACTTTTGCGAGCCGCTTTCATTTTCTAGTACAACTATTTTGGCTTTAGTGTGCATACTAGCAAAAAAGAGATGTAATTAGTAAGAGGACAAGTTGAATTTAAAGCATTTGTTTACATTGCACAAACAATCCTTCATTAATACTGCATTTAGTTTTCACTGGGTGTTCTCTACTGCCACGTAAGTACGTCCTCCACAACGGTGCTCTTAGTGCTGTGCACGTTGCTCTTGTCACAGATATATCTGCTAAGTATTTAGCACATGCATTAAAATTTATGCTATATGGTTCTATCTTTAGCTATATTAATTACTACTGTTCATAAATAATGTTGCAATAGATCCTTGCCAGATCACTTTAACTACAAAATTTTAGCTTTGGGGTACATATTTGTTACATAGTTATGTGCTAAATAATAAATTACAATATGCTTAAGAAAAATCATGTAATTGAGTGTATTATAATTTATCTTACACTTACAGATAGCATATAATGTTTTCTTCCAATATAAATGATGAGTGTGTAAACCAAACCAGCTCATACTGAGTCTACAACTCTCAAACCTAAAACACTAATTTCCACCCATCGCCACGGTATGCAAGGGATGTCATTTATGAATTATAGCATCTGAAGGTGAAAATTACGGTCTGTTATTCATCGTATGGAGGTCTATTATACCACAAGAAAAATAAGTATTGTATTTAAGGTAATATGTTTCTTAAATGTTTAACGTGAACTTAATGACCATTCTGTGATCCACTG